GATCAGCGCTCAGGGAGAGGCCTCACGGTGGAGCTGGGATCAGCGCTCAGGGAGAGGCCTCACGGTGGAGCTGAGATCAGGCTCAGGGAGAGGCCTCAACACCATGTCTGCATCCATGTAGTGCCACCATGGGGACACTTTTTTAAACCTCTCATTGTTCAGAGGGGTCCTAAAACATATGGTATTCAATATAGATGAAAGAAATAGGATTTGAAGATGTAGAGACCTCAGAGTATGCATTAAATAGTAAGAAGTATTGGAAGGAACAAAAGAGATGGATTTTCAAAACTGACATATACAAAAATGTGACACTTTTCTGATTATTTCTATTATGACTGAATCTATACTTAGGATATGTAACACTGGTATTATTTTTCTGGTATTGGTGAAATAGAGGTCAGGTGTGACAGCAGGTAGAATAAACCAGGATGAAGCCAAAACATAAAATTAGAAATTCTTATTTCTAAATTACAATCAGTGAATGGAAAAGGCAAACTTTGAAAATTTTTAAAAATAATTTAATCACTATTTATTTATTTGAAATAGAGTGTCACTCTGTTGCCCAGGCTAGAGTGCCATGGCATCATCATAGCTCACAGTAATCTCAAATTCCTGTGTTCAAGTGATCCTCCTGACTCAGCCTCCCAGAGAGCTGGGACTACAGGCATGAGCTGCTGAGACTGGCCAGCTTTTTAAATTTTTATATGAAGCCATGGATTTTGCAAATGTTTTGTATCTTGATGAATATTTAAAACGAACAATTCTCCTTTCTTCTCCTCCCATGGCCAAACTCGCTGTTCGTCCCTTTTTCTGGTTATTTTAGGATTCTTGGTCTCTTATCAGTTTTGGTCATTTGAATAACGTGAAACGGGGAGAGCCGTCCCCAACACACTGCCCCATTGAGAGGAACAGGAATACACTCTTGATGAGTTTAGAAACATCAAGACGATTGTGCAACCCAGCAGTGAAAACAAGAGCAAACAACAGTAGAAATCTCAAGCATTTTCACAGCAGAAGGCGTAATTCTTACAGCGCATTGCTGAAATAGTTCCACCAGCCATCCGGTTTCCTTTGTGTTAAAACCACGAGCCAGAGTGATTCTATCCTCCAGACTCACGAACATTCTGTTGCCATGTGAATAATTTATCAGGCCCAGTTGCATTATTGAAGATGTTAAATGCAGCTACTGTGGCCTGGAATCTGAGCGGGCATTCTCAGGACTGGCAGGATGAACGTGTTGCACACATTTTAATAGGGCAATATTATCATTCCGGCGCTGGCCCCTCCCAAGGGTTACATGGCTTGTTTGGGATGAACTCTGTGAATGAGACCGGCAGAGACTCCGTTCCTTCCTGAGAGGATCAAGTGTCAGAACTGCTGAAGACAGATGGGCGATCTGTCTGGAGCCAGTGCTTTAATTTTGCCCCCTCCTCTAGAAGGAATGTATGTTATTTTTAAAAGTTTAGAAACATTTATTTTCATTAAAAGATCTAGTTAGTAAAGCAAGACATTCCACAGGAAAATTGAAAATGAAACAGTGAATCTTCTCAGTAATTTGCCTTCATGAAAACAAATATTGGACTCTGAGAATTTGTGTGCTCCGGAGGCACCGAACATGGAGAACTTCTACAGTGACTGTTATTGGGAATAAAGAAATAGAGGAAGGACATGTTTTTAATATTTTTGCTCCTCTTTGCCCCTTAATTTCATCTTAACTCATGTTAATTTTGTCTAAACTCATGAGCGAAGCAACCTTCTCAAGCCAGCATTTTACAGTGACCTCAACCAACAAAACTGACCTTTTCTTTTCCCCTGTGTTGCCAGGAAATTGACATGCAGCGGTCGGGTCCAGCAAGCCACCCACAGGTTCTGTTTCATCTGTCCAGTCCGAAGAAGGTCAGGAATGTAACCCTCGTGTAGTGAAGGCTTCCCGGGGCGCCGCTGTGCACCTGGCTGGTGATTTACAACACAGGGGCGCCATCATTCCTCTCTGTCCTGGGACCGGGCTCCAGCTTTGCCGACATTACCTGAAGGGCCGTGTCAGAGGCATGGGAACTGATATTTTCTGGCAAGAGAGAAAGAATTGATTTCTCCAGATTGCAAAGTAGAGGTTGATTTTTAAGACATTTCCAGGTTTTGGTGAATGTCACCAAGTTACTAAGACTGAGCAGCAAATTTATCAGGAAGCCATTTCTCATTACTCACAACTTCCACTCGCCAATCCCATAAATGGTGGGTAAGTCCACGATCTGCCAGGACTTTTAAAACGGTTCTATTATCTCAAATCATATTAAGATGATATTCGTGTATGTTTAATATGTAGGGGTAACATTGCATATTATCACTGAAATAAGGGGATGAAACTCAGGGTCAATCAGAAATCTAAAATTGACTGGGAAATCGGAGGTCCACAGGTTAAAGAGAGATTCCATTCTGACTCTGATGCACCGGGGCCTGAGTGTCTCAGGGTTGAGTATTTACACGAAGACGCTCACTTTCATCAGCTTCCTGTCAGGCTCCTTCTCGTCTCCTCAAATGAATTAAAGGTGACGATGCTTTGTGGGGATGTCCCTCATAGACCACAAACACCACGGAAAGAGCTGGAGATGGCACTGTGTTCTCTAATGAATAAAAAAGAAAACACCAGACACTGAGTCTTGCCTTTCTTAGCTCTTTCTGTTCAGAGAGCAGTTTAGAGAATCAGGCATTTCCAGGAAGGACACCAGGAGGCTTCTCCAGAGAACCATCCCACCCTCGTGTCTGTCTTTGCCTCCTGACCTTTGCCCCATTTAGAGTTAGTGTGGATGTTCTTATGAAGAATAAAATTGCTGACTTCTCCAAATATGTTTCTTTCTCCATGTAGATAGACGCTGTACATTTTGCTGTCCATCCAACCCTTTCATATTTAACCTAGGGGCAGGACTGAGTATTATTGTTATTTTTTAAAATTAAGTTCTGAGTATTATTTGACTGAGCTCTGAACTGGTTGGTACAGATTTCTATGCTGAGTAGTAATTACCAAGTGTTTTGAATCCCTCATGCCCAACCATGCTATTGCTAAAGTAGTATTTGACTTTTAAAATGTGTCAAGATTTTAGTGAGTTCTTTAAAATTACTAAGTAGAAGCTGCAAATTTATCATGATGATGTTTCTCATCCGTCAACACTCCTCACTAATCGAATGTTTGGTAGACAAGTTCCTACACTACCATGATTCATAAGGTACTTTTATTATCTGAAACCACATCCTATCCCTCCCCGGACCTTTTCCTGTGACCCACAGCTGACTCAGGAGAGTTTTCTGGCTCAGCATGGGGCTGTGGTGGGCATCTGTTTTGACTGGCTGACCTCAGTGTCCATTCTGGCTTGGCACTTGGCATGCAGTATCTATTTTGTATGAGCAGTGTTCATGCCTTAATGATTGTCATATATTTTGAATATCACTAGTGTTTAGAGGGCGTGAAGAAAAGTTCTCTCTTCTTTGACTGTGTCCCGGATGTGAGCAAATTGGCTGCCTGTTTTCTTGGGAATGGAACTGCAATGCACAATCTCAAAATCTGTAAATATTGCTATATCACTTTTCCAAGAGTCCTTTCGATGGAAAAGATTCCCATTTCAAGTGCATAAAAATGAGATTTTTGCTTATTACACTAATTTCTTTATTCCTGGCCTATATACCTCTGTCTCCCCACTACCATCCTAATGGGGACAAGGACAAGGGCAAGACAAGGGGCTTCACGAGCCCTTCAGATGCTGACGCCTGAACTCACATTCTTCACTTAATGGTTTATTCCCTTCCAACCCATGGAAGCCAGATCCTAAGACGAGGCCAATGTCATGTCATTGGCACTTTTGTCACCTTTACAGCACCTGGTAAACAGCCAGTGTTCAGTAAGCGTTGACATCGAGCAGGTCAATATTGAGCAAGGCAGTATGTTGAATGTAGTGAGCATTTGCTCTCAGCCTTCTCTAAAAATATTTTTGTGGTTATGTTAGGAGTCAAAGGGGTCATATCTAGAATATAATTGAAATTTAAGTTTTGACCTCTGAAAGACCAGAGTAAATGAGTTCCATGCAAGTTTCTCCAACTTAATCGAATCCTCCTCAGATATTTTTTCATTTCTCAGACTACGGGAGGTTTTATGAGGTCACTTCGGAGCAGGCTCTCCTACTGTGCCTTACTCAGGAGCAGGGCTTCTTAAAGGGACCCCTTCGTGAGAGGAGGGTGTGCTACTTGGACAGAACCATCTAGAGCTGTCTATCTAATGGCGTAGCTACCTGGGGCTATTTAAATCAAATTATTTGAACTAAATAAAATGTAAGATTCATTTCCTCAGTTGCACCAGTCACATTCCAGGTGCCCTGCAGCCACATGTGGCCAGTGGCCACTGGAATGAACAGTGCAGGCCACAGGTTTCTATTGTTGCCAGAGTTCTTTGGGACTTGCAGAGTCCACTCTGAGGGTGCTACTTGGAAGTGACTTTGATGAGACAAGGACAAACACACAATCCCTGTTTTTTCAGCCATTTATCTTGCACTCAGCCAGTTTCTATTTAGGAAACCTGCAACCCTCAAGGCTACTCTCAACTGAAAATGGCGTTTTGCTGATGTGGTGAATTCTTCCCTCACTTCTGCACTGTGGGGAGCTGAGGCAGGCTCAGGGGTGGAGGGAGAGGAGACAGTCACAGAAAACATCGTGGTCAAGGTTGTTTCTCAAAAAAGAAGGTATGGCTGATCAGGTCACAAATATATTTAAACAAATACCCTTGATCGCTTCATGCTATAAAATCCTAGCCAGGAAAACCACACACGTCCTTCCCTCCTGAGTTCATCGACCTGGGTTGGTCTGCCAGAGTCCAAGCTTGTCTCCTGGAGCCCAGGATTTCCCCTAGTTTACTTGCTGTAGGACCCAGGTGATAATGCTAACACCTTGAAGCAACAGGAGAGCTCGGATAGAAGCACTTTCTTTGCTCTGTGTGACCCTGACCTTGGAAAACAGTCAAGGGCATTTGTAAAGTTCGATGGCACACTTCTACAAGTCTGGCGACATAAAAGGTCAGTGGATGCTGCAGAGCAAACATGAGATGCTGTGCTGACGTCCACGCCCCACCATTTACAAGCTCTCAATGTCCTTGTATAAAGATGGAGGATAGGGATTGTCCTCTCTGAAGGACAGGGGAACAGGAAGGGCTCAGAGATGAGGGAGTTGGGTGAGAGAAGGACGAGAAGCATGGGTCCATGGGAAGGCAGAATGGGACGAGGGTGTTAGTGGATGGGGATTCCTGCAGACCTGGGGCAGTTCCCATAGGCCTGTTACCATCCATCAAGTCTACGGGGGGCGGGGAGGGGGTTAGAGGGACCTGTATGTAGGAGGGACTTGTAAGGCTGCTGTAGTGGCCTTGGGTGGGAGTCACAGTCAAGACATAGACGCCCTGCAGGGAGCAGGTCAGGGCCATAAGACTCCAGCCAGACATTGTTCCTGCCTCCACTTGACCACACCAGCTAGATGCCCGAGGTCTGGGAGCCCTTGAAGTGACAGGTATGAGTCAGTCCCCTGGGAGGACTGGGCTGGAGGTACAAGGTGGAGAGTGGACGATGTGGAGGTGAGGGGGCAGCCAGGACATTTAGGAAGGAGAAGTTGACAAATGGGGAGTGTCCATGAGGTCAGAGGGAAAGACGTTCTCCCTCAGAGCCTGCACCAGTTCCTTGCCTTGGTTATGGAGGGAGGTGTAGGGGCCCTGCTCAGCCCCTTGCAGGTTTGCTGAAAACCAGTGACAAGATACGGATTAATGGGACAGAAGGTGTGTACACAAGACCCTTCAGAATGAAGATCCAAAGATCCAGGGGAAGTCGCCCACATTCATGTAGAAATATGATTGGGCAAAAGGGGGTGGTCTGCTGCTAGTGGACCTAGTGGGGGACCCAACTGTAGATTCTCCCCCATTCTGCCTTCCCCTGGACTGTGTGTCCTGTCCTGTCCTGTCCTCACCCAGTTCCCTCATCTCAGAACTCCGAGTTCTCCTCTGTCCCACAATCTGTGGCCTCTCTGGGAACACCTTCTTTCTGGGAGGGGGGAAGGCCCTTTCTGGAGTGGGAGTCTCTGACCTACACTTAAAGAGGGTAGGTCAGATCATTTCTTTACAACCAGTTTTCATAGTATATTTTTGGGTTTTATGGGTGGCTTTCAAAATAAAGGCTCTGGTTTCTACAACGACTCGCCTTGGGAAAGAGGGATTCTCGTTTCTGTGGCTGCCTCCAGGGAGAATGGGATCGAGAAGAGGGCAAGCCAAGGTCAGAGAAACACTTTTGCTTGAGGCCTTCATGTTGGGGTGCTGTTTCCAGAGTCCCAACGAAGGGTAGCATTGGGAGGAAAGGAATCAGCTGCCTTGAACTTGAGCATCTTTGATGTCCATTTGCACCTCAGTAGAATCGGGGGTTTGGAGGAGAGACCCTTCAAGTTCCTCTGGAACTTACTGTCATACATACACTTGCATACACGCTCACATGCAGCACTCACATGTGCGCACACACACCCTCCTCACTGATGTGGCCCAGTTGCTGGAACGGAGGCTGTTCTGTGTGAGTGCGCGCAGATGTCCCTGGGCTCTGCCACATCGGGCTGGAGCTGTCTTTTTGCAGACGATAAATATTTCATTCTCAACTAGCACAGCCTGTAAGTCATGCCACGCACAGTGATGGGGAATCCCACTCCAATGCTCTGGAGAGTGCTCTGACCTGGCCGCCCACACCTTGACAAAGTGGGAGTGTGAGGCACCTGGGTCCCCAGCTGAAAGTGGCCCTGGCATTGCCTTTCCTCTTCCTTGGGAGGGGGGGCCTCGTCACTTCTAAAAGTACAATGGGATTTTGAACCGCGGAGCGGTGGGCAGATCTGTGGGAGTGATTGCCTGAGCTGTGGCATCAGACTGAGACCTCCACGTCCGGACTCATAATCACGCCAGGTCAACAGAAAATTGATTGGGCCCAGTGAACTCTGCGGGGACGCGCAGCTTGGAGTATATGGATTGTATTTCCTTTCAGAAACCTTGACAACAGGTGATACTTCACAGGGTAACTCGGTTTGGGAACAACTGGTAAAACGAAGATTCCACTTCATGGATAAAAAGACTAGGATAGTTCACTTCATAGCAAATTACTTTCTAAATCAAACCCAGGTTTAAAAATTTCAGTTGATTGAGATATCTTTCTTAGAAAGCATAGATAGGCCTGGGTTAGCTGAAGGGTGCTCAGCCAGCAGGGCCCTGTCACCCAGCAGCCGGTGATGGGTGAAAATACCTGCCTCTCCCTCCTCACAGCTGGTGCAATGTGTGTGTGGTGTGTCTGTGTGTATGGTGTGTAT